TAATAGAGGTTTTTTGGTTTTGAGTTAGACTGTGTAAATATATAAATGTGTCGTTAAACCCGCCACCACCCAACACAGCCAGTTAGTAAGGTTTGTCAAGTGAACAGAACATGCCAATTCGTCACTCGTACAGCACACCGGTGTGTTGGAGAGCAAAGCCACAACATTTACAATCTGAGTACGACGTTTCGTCAGTAATTACAACTATCTTCATCAGGCGACAGCCATATTTGTGAAGGAATCTTCCTGTTTCGTTCCAGAGAGGGGCAGATGTGATGCCAACACTTGTGAGCACTTATTAATTATTTTTATATTCCCACCTCTTCCCTTTGCACCAATCTGATTTGAATGCTCCGATGCCTTCCAATCAGATTGGTGGCGTCACCGACCAAGACGGTTGTCAGTGGCTCTGTTACTTATAAACTTGGCCTGCCTGTGAAGTCGTTAAGACTTCTGGCAGGCTACCCACACACACAAAGGTTTGGCCGCCGGGCCTAACAGCCTTACACATGCAACGCCAACGTCAAAGAGCCACGTCGTGTTCACGCCAACTATTTATTTATCGTGCCGACTCGCGCCAAGCCACGAGGCAGGTTCATCGGGCGCCAGATCCGCTGCCTATCGCACGATCGCAACAGCGATTGCCCGCGTACAGGTGAAAACACAAAGTACGTACACGTAGCACGAGGCTTTTGCGACCAATGTTATCAATGAGGTTTTTTTTTTAGGTTAAATCGCGTAAATATAAATCTGTCGTTAAACCCGCCAGCACCTGACAAAGCCAATTAGTAAGATTTGTCACGCAAACAAAACATGGCAATTCGTTATTAGTTCAGCACACACCCGGTGTGTTGGAGAGTAAACGTTTACAATTCGAGTACGACGTTTCACCCGGTAATTATTTAAGACAGAAACATGAGGATTTCTCCACGGCTCTGGCTATCGCTTCACGAGGATGGTTTTAATTACCGGCGAAACGTTGTCTTCTAATTATAAATCTTGCGGTGGGTTTACTCTCCCAACACACCGGTGTGCTGAACTCGCATCGAATTGGCACACTGTTTACGTGACAAACCTTACTAATTGGCGGCTTTAACGACACAAATTTATACTTACGCGATCTAACCCAACCAAAAAACACCCCTATTGTGGATACGTACAGATACTTATCTTCCACGAATATCACAGCCTTTGTCTCGAGGCAGGGTGAAAGAGCCACCTGCCAAGAGAAACCATGCGGTCTCCCTCCTCTGCTCAGAGCAGGGCCTGGGATAAACAGCCGATGCGGGAGCGTGGCGAAACACAAGAGCGTCGGATTTCACACACAGAGAGAGAGAGGCGAACACACATCGGAAGAAAAAAGGGTTTAAACATACGGGCAAACCGCCTTCAATTGTTGACACTTTTCCCACTCGTCTAGAACCGATGAGTTTGGTGCGGTATGGTTATCTCTCCGAGGTCGATAAAAATGAGACGCCACTCTGTAGGGAAGTCGACAGTTGGTTAAGCTGTGGACAGACTCACCCCCTGCCATAGGAACGTGTAATTGCCACCACTGGCTCAGGGCTGTAAATGGGAGGGATGAGCACCCAATGCTCATTTGAAGAGAAAGTCACCGATGGCGACTCCACTCGTGTACACTGGCCGGCGTGGAGAGGTACGGTCAAACAGCCACTGACGAATCCGCATGACATGGAGAAGCGGTCATCCAGGAGTGGATTGACAAAGGGCGGTGCATAAGTACAAAGCTTGAGGACTGTCCGGCGGTACTGGTAACAAAAAACCCATTAATCAATAAACTACTTAACTGCATTTCCACGTGCGTGACAACATGCACTCGACACAACTGAAGCATAAAGATGGTCCGCTTTGCCGGTATTAAAGTATGAAAAAATGATAACAGGTGCTACCCTCTCTGCCAATAAAACACAAAGGGTGAAACCTATTATTATTACTTTGATACTGGAAAAAAGATCCCATTTCATAGCTGCTCACCCCGAGCTAGAAATGCTGTGATAGTGGCATTGTCCTTGTCCTGTTCGCATTTTGGCGTTCTCTGGTCCGACACTGCTGAGACGAGGCCCGAAAGAAGGCTGCCGTCTCTGGTGCAGGCCAATCATTCTCAAAGGCAATGCCCTTACATTATCAGAGCATGTTTGTTTGCAAGTTCAGCACAAGTACGTGGTTGATGCAGACTTTATTCATTGCAAAAAGGTTTTTTTATTTGGTGCTTGAACATCTTAACACCTCCTGTTTTATTACCAGAACGGGCAAAAACCTATTCTTATTTGTTCATGCAACGGAAGCAGTGCACGTGTATGAATATCGAATGAGCAGGTTTACAATAGGCGGTATATCGAAAACCTACACACACAACCGATACCAAAAGCATGCACGTTATTTACCTTCGCGATTTAAAAAAAAAGTGATTAAGTACAGACGGTTTGTTAATCCACTGCTGGATAAAGCCCCAACCCCCAAGCCGTGCGAATTATGGGATCTTGTGGTGACCATACTTCACCACACCACCGCCAGTGTGGGTTTGATGGGTTGGCGGCCAGAAACGGGTACAGATTATCACTCGCCAATGATGATGCAGGCCGTGAGCCGGGAATCGAAGTTGGTTCGTAGGGCAGTGCACTAACAACTGAACCACCGCTCCTATGTCGCAAACATCCATTACACCCGATAAAATCCGATTATATTCCCATATACGCTGATCAATATCGATCGTCGCAATCAATTTACATTCTATCGGAAACGTCGCTTAAGACAGTTCATCGATGAATAATAAAATAGCCCACTGCATTTCGAGGATTCGTAAGCATATTGTCTCTGCGTTAACCACTACATCACCGCTGCCCACGCTGCGTTCACCTTAATTAACGTGTTAATTGGACACGGCGAGTGAGACACGTGTCACACAGACACACAGGCCCCACACACACACAGACACGTGTCACACACACAGACACGTGTCACACACACACAAACACGTGTCACACACACACACAGGCCCCACACACACAGACACGTGTCACACACACAGACACGTGTCACACACACACAAACACGTGTCACACACACACACAGGCCCCACACACACAGACACGTGTCACACACACACAGGCCCCACACACACACAGGCCCCACACACACACAGGCCCCACACACACACAGACACGTGTCACACACACACAGACACGTGTCACACACACACAGACACGTGTCACACACACACAGACACGTGTCACACACACACAGACACGTGTCACACACACACAGACACGTGTCACACACAGACACGTGTCACACACAGACACGTGTCACACACAGACACGTGTCACACACAGACACGTGTCACACACAGACACGTGTCACACACAGACACGTGTCACACACAGACACGTGTCACACACAGACACGTGTCACACACAGACACGTGTCACACACAGACACGTGTCACACACAGACACGTGTCACACACAGACACGTGTCACACACAGACACGTGTCACACACACACAGGCACGTGTCACACACACACAGGCACGTGTCACACACACACAGGCACGTGTCACACACACACAGGCACGTGTCACACAGACACAGGCACGTGTCACACAGACACGTGTCACACAGACACAGGCCCCACACACACACAGACACGTGTCACACACACACACACAGGCCCCACACACACAGATACGTGGTTACACACACACAGACACGTATCACACTATGATGTAGCTAGGGAGGGACATTTAAAGGTAAATGAGAAAGACTAAACCGATAGCCGGGGCCACGTGTCACACAGAAAAAGATTCCCCGTATAGCACTGATGAAGGCCGGCACGGCACACGAGGGGGCGAGTAGCCAACACTACGCCCGGCCGCCTTTGTCTCCCTCGTGGCGATGTTTACATATCGCACCAGGCACTCATTTGAGGCCGAGTAGACGTAGGGGAGGAGGCCCAGGATAAGTTCACATAATCGTCACTGGTGTTGGCCGTGATCTCGGGTCGCCGGCTTCGTAGTGCAGCGCGCTAACCGCTACACTACCGCCACGTGTCACACACACACACAGGCCCCCCACACACAGACACGTGTCACACACACACACAGGCCCCACACACACAGACACGTGTCACACACACAGACAGACAGACGCGTGGTTATACACACACACACGTGTCACACACACACACAGACGCGTGTCACACACACACAGACGCGTGTCACACACACACAGACACGTGTCACACACACACAGACACGTGTCACACACACACGTGTCGCACTCACTCCTCCAACACAGCACGGCGGCGCTAAGCTCGGCAATGCCCGCGTGTAAAACGAAGGCGAATTGTGACCGGATTTGCAAGGCGCTCTCGCAAGTGTCAATAAAGCCACGCAAAAAATGTGGTCACAACACGCAACCTTGGCACAAGACGCATATTCTTTGGTTCGTTCGGTATACGTGACTATACCGAAAAAAACCCCCCCAAAGAATATGAATTCCTGCAGTCAACGAGAGTTTTGAAGTCAAAATAAAAAATTCGTTTTCGCAGTAAAAAACCAAAAAAAATAGCGCTTCGCAGTCACCTGGAACCGCCGCTTAACGTGGCAAGAAGGCGCGCAACGGCGACGCGATAGCAACCCACGGTCGCGAAACGCAGCGCCCAGCTCGACATTCAACGCGCGGCAGAGAAGCGGCCGAGACCGACGAGGCGCGGGCCCCGCGCGAGGCGCCCCCCGTAGCCGGGCGGGCGAGCTCAGGCGAGCCCGAGGCTGTCGCCTACTCGATGAGGCCTACTGGGGGGAGGCCTACCACCGAACTCGTCTTAAATCACGGAAACATTTCTCGGGATGGGCGTCAATGTTTATAGCGAGTCGCGTCGAGTCGTCCCTCGGTGGTTGAGCGAGAGTTGGTGGCGGTGAGGGGTGGTGAGGGGTGAGTGTTGGTGCGGCGGGCGAGAGGCGAGCGAGCGGTCCGACTCACCCTTGAGGCGCGAGACGTCTGCAACAAAAGGCGCCCCGGAACGCGCATTGAGGAGTGCACGCGGGGTGGGTGGTGGGGGTGGTGGTGGTGGGGGGTGGTGGTGGTGGGGGTGGTGGTGGTGGTGGGGGGTGGTGGTGGTGGTGGTGGGGGGTGGGGTGGGTGGGGGTGGGGGGTGGTGGTGGGGGTGGTGGTGGTGGGGTGTGGGGGTAATGGTGGTGGGGGTGGGGTGTGGGGGTGGGTGGTGGGGGTAATGGTGGTGGTGGTGGGAGTGGTGGTGGTGGGGGGGGTGGAGGTGGGGTGTGGTGGTGGTGGTGGGGGTGTGGGGGTGGTGGTGGTGGGGGGGGTGGTGGGGGTGGTGGAGGTGGTGGAGGGGTGTGGTGGTGGGGATAGAGTGTGGGGGTGGGGGTGGTGGTGGTGGTGGGGTGTGGGGGGTTGTGAGGGTGGTGGGGGTGATGGGTGTGGGGGTGGTGGTGAGGGTGGTGGTGGGGGTGGTGGTGTGGGGGGTTGTGAGGGGTGGTGGGGGGTGGTGGGGGCCCGCCCCCCACTCGGGCGACTGGATGCGAGCCACAACGCGGCACTCCCCGCAACCGCAGACAAAGCTGCCCCAGGTGGCGCCCCGCGCCGAACTCTGGGTGGGTGTGGGCGAGGGGGCAAGTGCAGTCGGCTCGGGAGTTCAGCGAGCCGAGCAAACCCCTCCACCTATATATAATAGGCGACGTTTCGGGCAATGGCCCTTATTCAGCTCCGGATGAAATGCATCCTTGATTTTACAGCGATAGGAATGATTATAACAAAGGCATTTAAAAAAATACAGTGCTATTATTCAACGGAAGTTTAAACCATTAACGTTATATAATGTATACTCTTTGGTGCTTTCGGTAAAGTCACGTAGGCATAAACTAAAATAAATTCTACCTACGTGACTTTACCGAAAGAACCAAAGAGTATGAATCCCTGCAGTCACGAAAACTTCAAATCTAGATTGGTTAAATAATTTGTGCGACTAAATACAAATTCTACTCAATTGTAGTATTCTCTCTCGATTGTTATTCACCTCTGTAAACCGTCCGCCTTTAGTTCGAATTCCCGGTCACGGCTCACGTCAGTGGCGAGTGTTATCTGAACCCTAGGGAGGGGGCCTTCATCCAGCAGTCAACTGACCAAGGGACAATATGTAAAGTAATCATTATTGGCTAAATAGTTTTACTTAAATCAAGGTCGTTGAATCAACTTAAGTTTATAAACAAAAGTGCAGTGGCGCTCATCTATCCAGTTTAACTGCCCCGAGCCAGTGTTGGGAATTCCACATTACTGTGACGGGAGCCAGGGCAGCCATCTGACAACCAATGTGGATGTCACGTGGAGCGGCCTCACGTTCGCTCAGCGCTGACACACGTGCCACGAGTCACCGCCGTCTCACGTACGTGGAGACACGTGGAGATACGGAGACGCACGTGGAGACACGGAGACACACGTGGAGACACGGAGACAGACGTGGAGACATGGAGACACGCGCGGAGACATGGAGACACAGGTGGAGACACAGAAACCCACGTGGAGAAACGGAGACTCTCGTGGACACACAAGTGGAGACACGGACACACAGGTGGAGACACGGAGACACACGTAGAGACATGGAGACACACGTGGAGACACGGAGACAAGTGGAGACACGGAGAAACACGTTGAGACACGGAGACCCAGGTGGAGACACGGAGACTCGCATGGAGACAGAAGTGGAGACACAGAGACCCACACGTGGAGACACCGAGGCCCACGTGGAGACACACGTGGAGACACAAGTGGAGACACGGACACACATGTGGAGACACGGAGACTCACGTGGAGACACAAGTGGAGACACGGGGACCCACGTGGAGACACGGAGACACGCGCGGAGACACGGAGACACACGTGGAGACATGGAGACACACGTGGAGACACGGAGACACGCGTGGAGACACGGAGACACACGTGGAGACACGATGACCCACGTGGAGACATGGGGACCCACGTAGGGACACCAGTGGAGACACGGACACACAAGTGGAGACACGGAGACACACGTGGAGACATGGGGACCCACGTGAAGACACGGAGACACACGTGGAGACACAGGTGGAGACACGGACCCACGTGAAGACACGGAGACACACGTGGAGACACGGAGACACGTGAAGACACGGAGACACACGTGGAGACACAAGTGGAGACACGGAGACCCACGTGGAGACACGGAGACTCACGTGGAGACACAAGTGGAGACACGGAGACTCACGTGGAGACACAAGTGGAGACATGGAGACACACGTGGAGACACGGAGACTCACGTGGAGACACAAGTGGAGACATGGAGACACAAGTGGAGACACACGGTGAGACACGATAACCCACGTGGAGACACGATGACCCACGTGGAGACATGGAGACACACGTGGAGACACAAGTGGAGACATGGAGACACAAGTGGAGACACGGAGACCCACGTGGAGACACGGAGAGGGAGGCGACCACAGCACCCAGAGAATCTCGGCTCATTCAAGGGAGAGGCGCTCAAACATCCGCACATTCTGGTCAGGAACCCTCTTGCTGTAATGCCATGCATTTGCCACCTTACGGTCCGGCGAATTATAATTAATTCTGGCAGCAAGTGGCAATATCTACGGCGGTCCACCAACCCCCGCCTCTAACATGTTGCTGGATCGTCATCATCATCATCATCGTCACCCAAGATCTATCCACTGCTCTATAATCCGTCGGCATCTCTCACAGGTTTGCGACGTAACTATTCCACTTCGCTGCTGCAGACACACGGAACCAGCTGGTTTCATAGCTCCATCTCCACGGTGGACGAAACCCTGTTTTTGTTATTCCTCCTTTAGCTGTCACTCCGTGGTTGATCTCGACCACCCGTGTGGCTGCTCCCCCCTTGCCCCCCGTGAGTGTCAAGACCGTGGACTGCCTTTGACAGAACGAGAAGCGAGCGATTCGTTTATATTTTTGTTTATTGTTGTTTTTATTCAAGTCGGCAGACACCCTCCGTCTTATTGACGTCGTTCACGATTCGTCATCATCCATCGCCAAATTGAAATGCGTTGGCTCTGTGAATCGAACTCATTAATCGCCCCTTTATATTAAAATTGGAAATGCATTTGTGGCTTGTGCATTAGAAATGAGAAGCCGTTCCATTTTTCGTTCACGCGTTGCCGAGTTCATTCCTGGAAATGAAGGGGTTAACGCACTGGCAAGTGAATTGTGAACCGGTTTTTTTGTGTGGGGGAGGGGTCTCCTACCCTCCACTCACCCACACCGACAGGCACGGGGAAGTATGGTCAAACAATCTCCGTGGGTGGCCTTCGTCCAGCACCGGATCGACGAAGCGTCGTGCACACAGTATTCAATGGAAAATTTAGAATATTTATTTATACTGCAGGCAGGAGGAATCTGATGAGCTATAAAGCTTTTTTTTTTTTAACCAGATATCCGGTCGGGGCACGGTGTAAGAACGTTACAACAAACACTACAAAAAATATGATCAAAGTGTAAGAAAGGTAAACATCGTTAACTGGGCTGTTTCTTATTCTCAAGGTATCGCCTTATTTCATCAAGGTTACGCAAACGTAGTGAGCCGGTAGCAATTGTTTTCCTCCTGTAAAACCCCTCCACCACCTGACATAGCCAAACCAAAATAAAAACAGAAAATGACCACGCGTTTTAACGACGCGCCAATTCCTCCACTTCTTCTTCTTCTTCAACTCCAGAAACTGGTGGCGGTCAAGGATCACCGTCCTCCTCCTCCATGCGTTGTCTCCACCGGGTCCCTCCGTGGGTGACTCACGGGGGGAATCGAGCGATATTGGGCCCTCGGGTGCCGCGCGCGTCCGAGTGGGCTCGTTGGCGCCGGGTTCGAGTTCATTTGTTTAGTGGCACGGATGACGGGTCCCATTCAGCCGGTTGTCGGGGGCTGTGTCACACGGGAGATCCGTGGTGCGTGAGCTGAGAATCCCTGCGGCGGAGTGATTTGTGAGTGAGTCGGCCCGGGGGGGAGGGTGAGCTGAGAATCCCTGCGGCGGAGTGATTTGTGAGTGAGTCGGCCCGGGGGGGGGGGGGGGTGAGCTGAGAATCCCTGCAGCGGAGTGATTTGTGAGTGAGTCGGCCGGGGGGGGGTGAGCTGAAAATCCCTGTGGCGGAGTGTTTTGTGAGTGAGTCGGCCCGGGGGGGGAGGGTGAGCTGAGAATCCCTGCAGCGGAGTGATTTGTGAGTGAGTCGGCCCGGGGGGGGGGAGGGTGAGCTGAGAATTCCCTGTGGCGGAGTGTTTTGTGAGTGAGTCGGCAGGGGGATGGTCCGCTGAGAATCCCTGTGGCGGAGTGATTTGTGAGTGAGTCGGCCGGGGGAGGGTGAGTTGAGAATCCCTGCGGCGGAGTGATTTGTGAGTGAGTCGGCCGGGGGAGGTTGAGCTGAGAATCCCTGAGGCGGAGTGATTTGTGAGTGAGTCGGCCAGGGCAGGGTGAGAAGAGAATCCCTGTGGCGGAGTGATTTGTGAGTGAGTCGGCCCGGGGGAGGGTGAGAAGAGAATCCCTGAGGCGGAGTGATTTGTGAGTGAGTCGGCCCGGGGGGGAGGGTGAGCTGAGAATCCCTTTGGCGGAGTGATTTGTGAGTGAGTCGGCCGGGGGGGGGGGGGTGAGAATCCCTGTGGCGGAGTGATTTGTGAGTGAGTCGGCCCGGGGGGGGGGGGGGGTGAGTTGAGAATTCCTGCGGCGGAGTGATTTGTGAGTGAGTCGGCCCGGGGGGGGGGGGGAGGGTGAGCTGAGAATCCCTGAGGCGGAGTGATTTGTGAGTGAGTCGGCCCGGGGGGGGGGGGGGGGGGGTGAGCTGAGAATCCCTTTGGCGGAGTGATTTGTGAGTGAGTCGGCTGGGGGATGGCCCGCTGAGAATCCCTGTGGCGGAGTGATTTGTGAGTGAGTCGGCCGGGGGAGTGTGAGTTGAGAATCCCTGCGGCGGAGTGATTTGTG